TCTGCCTTCTCTCGTCTCCCTTCTTCCCTCTTCTCTTCATCTAACTGTCTTCCTTTTTGTCCTCTCTTTTTTTTTCTCTCAATCTCCTTTTCTTCTTTCTCTTCTCTTCTCTTTCCTTTCTCTCTTCTCTCCTCTCCCTTCTCTCTTCTCCCCTCTCCCTCTGTCTCCCTTTCTTCCTTCTCTCCTCTCCCCTCTCCCTCCACCTCCCTTTCTCCCTTCTCTCCTCTCCCCCTTCCCTCTCCAATTCCTTCTCCCTCTATCTTCTTTCTCTCCTCTTCCCTCTCCCTTTCTCTCCTCTCCCCTTCCCCTTCTCTCCTCTCCCCTCTTCCTCCATCTCCCTTGCTCCCTTCTCTCCTCTCCCCTCTTCCTCCATCTCCTTCTCTCCCTTCTCTCCTCTCCCCTTTGCTTTCTTTCCTCTCCCCTCTCCCTCCACCTCCCTTTCTCCCTTCTCTCCTCTCCCTTCTCCCTCCATCTCCCTTCCTCTTTCTCTCCTCTCTCCTTTCCCCTTTCTCCTCTTCCCTCTCCCTCTATCTCCCTTTCTCTCCTCTTCCCTTTCCCTCTATCTCCCTTTCCTCTTTCTCTCCTCTCTCCTTTCCCTTCTCTCCTCTTCCCTCTCCCACCATCTCCCTTTCTCCTCCATCTCCCTCTCCTCCATCTCCCTTCTCCCTTCTCTCCTCTCCCCTCTCCCTTCATCTCCCTTTCCTCTTTCTCTCCTCTCTCCTTTCCCTTCTCTCCTCTTCCCTCTCCCTCTATCTCCCTTTCTCTCCTCTTCCATCTCCCTCTATCTCCCTTTCTCTCCTCTTTCCTCTCCTTCTATCTCCCTTTCTCTCCTCTTCCCTCTCCCTCTATCTACCTTTCTCTCCTCTTCCCTCTCCCTCTATCTCCCTTTCTCTCCTCTTCCCTCTCCCTCTATCTCCCTTTCTCTCCTCTTCCCACTCCCTCTATCTCCCTTTCTCTCCTCTTCCCTCTCCCTCTATCTCCCTTTCTCTCCTCTTCCCTCTCCCTTCCCCATCTCCTTCTTTCATTTCCTTCCTTCCCTTCCCTAACCCTTCCCCATCTTCCCTTTCCCATCTCCTTCCTTTATTCCCTCCTTCCCTAATCCCTCCCCATCTTCCCTTTCCCCTCTCCCTCCACCTCCCTTTCTCCCTTCTCTTCCCTCCCCTTTCCCATCTCCCTCCATCTCCCTTTCTCCCTTCTCTCCCCTCCCCATCTTCCCTTTCCCCTCTCCCTCCACCTCCCTTTCTCGCTTCTCTCCTCTCCCCTTTCCCATCTCCCTCCACCTCCCTTTCTCCCATCTCTCGCCTCCCCTTTCCCATCTCCTTCTTTTATTGCCCCCCCCCCCTTCCCTCACTCTTGTCTCTTCCTCTTCCAGTTTAACCCTCACGAAGCTGTCATGGGACATCGACCTCATCACTATGTGAATATTACTGAGGAAGTTTGTAATAGAAGGAAGATTAAGGCAAGGGTTATCAAACTCTTGTCTTCGCTCTCCTTCCCTCTATTTGTCTCTTTCTTTGTCTGTCTGTTTGTCTGTTTTCTGTCTGACTGTTTGTCTATGTGTCTCTGTCTTTGTCTTTCTGTCTCTCTCTCTGTCTCTCTCATTCTCTTCCATTCTCTCATTTCATTCTCCTATTTCATTCTCTATCTCTCTATCTATCCATCTATCTCTATCAATCTCTCTATCCTATCATCTTTCTCTCTCTCTCTCTCTCTCTCTCTCTCTCTCTCTCTCTCTCTCTCTCTCTCTCTCTCTCTCTCTCTCTCTCTCTCTCTCTCTCTCTCTCTCTTTATCTATCTATCTATCTATCTATCTGTTTCACATAATTTACGACTATAGTTATTCTTCGTTTATTCTACGTAACGTCTTCTAAAAGGAAATCTGCAAATCATCTCCACTTATGCCAGAAATGAGGAAATTTGCATACCACTTCCTTCGTTAAAAGGATCACGCATGTATAGCTTCATCTACTTAATCCCACATAGTTCATTCTACCAAAGTTTAGAAAATATCAGATTGAAAATAGATAATTCCGTAAAGTAAGTCGTGAACACTTGTTTTTGTTATAGCGTAATTACGGCAGAATTACACTTAATTACATTCTAGTGTCATTCTTTCTCCTTTTTTTTTTCTTTTTTACGCTATTTGAAAACTGAACGAGCAACTTCATAACCATATCCACGCCTAAAACCCTCAATACATAATGAAAAAGACCAAACTTTTCCCACCAAAAAACACATAGATAACTGTAACGGAAAATACCGTCCATGATTTAGGCTTCTGGATGTTCCTTCGTAAGACCATAGCTCGATTAGGGCCGTTTAGGGACAGAGGACTTAGGGCTAACTCAGACCACGCGCTTAACGGCCCCCAGTCGCTGTGATCGCGGGCGTGGTCGATGCGCCGCGTAAAGCCTAATTATGACGTGTGTGTCCGGCTTTTCCTACACTTTGTACAGGCATACACGTGGGCTGATGTGCGTACAGGCATTTATACACACACGCATGCTCACATGCATACACACACGCGTGCACACATACACACGCGCACACACACACACGCGCGCACACACATACACACGCGCACACATACACACACACACACACACACACACACATACCAACGCACACACACACACACACATATACGCATACACACACACGCACGCACATACACACACACACATACACACGCACGCACATACATATACATATACAGTAGATAGGTAGCTGAATATGAATATAGATACACCCACACAAACACACACACACACACACACACACACACACACACACACACACACACACACACACACACACACATATATAATATATATATATATATATATATATATTATATATATATATATATATATATATATATATATATATATGTATTATATATATATTATATATATGTTGCATGTATGCATGCACACACACACACATGTGTGTGTGTGTGTGTATATGTATACACACAGACACACACACACACACACACATATATACATACATATATATATATATATATATATATATATATATATATATATATATATATATATATTATATATATATATATATATAGGCAGATATGCAAAACACAAGGGGCAGACGCTTTGTAGATAAAGAGAAAGATAAAAAGAGGATGCGAGAGACGATGAGCAAGAGGATCGGACGAGAACTAGAACAAAAACTTGAACCGAAAGAGAAAATATTCATCACACTTCCTAATTCATGCTGTTTGACCATGTCGAGTAATTCTATCATGTGTGATGTGAATGTGAAATGTGAAACGTAAAGAAAACATCGAAACATTATTCTAGTGGGTACATTAATAAACAGTTGTATATTAATAGAGTTTAGAGTCTATGAAATAACCGGAGTGAAATTCTTCTATCTTACGTAACGATGTAAGATATAACTTCTTGTTGACCTCAGCAGTCTCTATAACAGAACAACGGAATAAAAAGAAATAAAATAAAAAAGGAAGAGACGCAAAGTCAACACTATATGGATCTCTCTGGCTTTTGTTCCATCTGCTTCTGCTCTATGGCTGCTCGTCGATCCGCCCAAGTCCAAGGTAATTGTAAAGGAGTTGGAAGGCCAGTTTAGGGCGGGACTTGTGACGTCACGCCCCTTATTTGTGACGTCAGTGGCTCCACACTATAAAAGAGGACCGTTTCCCTCAGTCAGCAAGTCGCTTCAAACTCGCTGCAATCATGAGGGCTCTGGTAAGTGCTGTGAGAGGTCAACAGGCGAGCAGCTGTGAACACGTGTGGTTTTGCTGAAGGTTGTTCTTGTGTAGTGATATTGCATATAAGTATGCAACGCGAGGGGAAAGTATTTCATTTAGATTTATAGAAAACTAGAGGTGTATAGATAAGGAATATAGTATTGTAAAATGAATATCTACATTTGAATATATCGTGGTGTTTCATTAGACGAACACAAACGCTTCTTAGATTTGATATGTTGCCATGTGATATGGATAAACTATAACAATATATAACAATTTTCCAGGTGATTCTGGTCGCTGTATCCTGTTGCTCAGCACAGCTGGTGCTGCCGTACACGGCGCCCTGGGTGCTGCCTCAAGCGAAGCTGATCACTACCCCTCATGTCAAGACCGACATCAAGACCATTCCTTTGGTCTCCCCTTACGCCCACCCCTTCGGACATCCCTTCGTCGCTTCCCCCTACGCCTTCCACCACGCTGCCTATCCCTACATCCTCAACGCCGACGCTACTCTCAAGGCCACCGAGTTCCCCTACATCTTCCACAAGGCTGAACAGGAGCCAGCTGTAGAAGAGGCACGTCGTCGTCGCCGCGACGTGGAGATCCCCCTCCCGTACCTGCACGCCGTGCCCACCGTCACCAAGCAAACTGTGGAGACCAAGCAGTTCGAGCCGGTCGACGCCAACACCCCCGCCGACACCACCAAGATCGAGCTCACCACCAAGGAGCACGAGATCTCCGTGCCCGCCGTCAAGTACGTGCAGCCCGTGGTCAACGTCAAGCCCGTCACCTACACTGCTCTCTCCCACGCCGTCCTTCCCTACGCCCACTTCCCTACGCCCACGGCCTTCCCTACGCCCACGGTCTTCCCTATGCCTATGGCCTTCCATACGCCCACTACCCTAACCTCGTCGGCGCCCCCGTCATCAAGATCGACGAAGAGTAACTCCAACTTTCCTGTCGTCCTTGATCCTCACAAAAAAAAAACGACACTTTGTGATGGAAACTCATCCGTTGGAGTCGTCTCTGAATCCAACATGAAGGATGTGGTTACCAACCTGAGTGAAATGAAAGAAAATAAAGTTGAGATAACAGTTCCCGAAAATGACAAATAAAAAACATATTGAAAATTACATACAGTGAAAAACAAATCAGAACATCATCTGAAAAAAGGTGTACATGATGAAACGTACATTCAAAATCAACCTTTTTCGAAATAAAATAATTAAAATCACATGAAATATCTTTATCCCAATCCTGGAAAATGTACCCTGACAGTTACTCTAGACTTTTAGATCCATCTGAAATTCTTGCAAACTCAGGTTACCTTACAGTAAATGGTATACAAGAAAAAATATATCCCTTTCTTATAGAATAGTTTATGGCATAATAAGTATATACTTTCATGATAGAATCATTGGATTCCATCTTCAAGTCTGAAAGAAGAATTCGAAACTGTTTCAATTTCAAATAAATGTCGTCTGTGTATTGTAGGTTCTCTATTAGTAAAATTTTACTGTAGTTATCTATCCACAGTTATTTACACAATACGTACAGACTAACATGTATTAAATACATAGCATCGGCTTCTTGAAGCCATTATTTACTTTTTAACTTTTGATTCAAACTAAACTAAAGTGTTGAACCCTCCTCCCTCGTGTGCACGACCCTATGAGTGTATAGACTTCACAAACTCATTAGTGTGTGCATATATACCGCATAGATAAGTATAAGTTTAGATATGAATATGGATAAGACAGATACCTACATGATTTACCAATCTATTCTTCCTAAATGATTCGTGAGACTTTTGTTTGAATGTATAAATGACTGTGCTTCAATTGCTAAAATGAAATTAACAAATAACTATATGTACTGATTTTCCTTTTTTTAATAAATCAATAAAATTCGCACCTTCAATGACAAGTTCCTAATTACAGATTATCGAAATGGCCTAAGCTTTTCACAAATAAAATACTTAAAAGTTTGAAAGAGGAAAATAGTACGATATCTACTGTTTGTATATATATATATATATATATATATATATATATATATATATATATATATATATATATATATATATATATATATATATATATATAAACTCGTGACGTGTGTCTGTCTGCAAACTTTCATATCCAAAATGGTTATAGAATTTCACACTAATTCTTTTACATGCAATTTGGTCTTGACTTCATTATGGTGGTTGCAGGGATTAATCGCGCGAAACGCGGAAGGGTTATAACGCGAAGCAGAGTTGAAATCTCCGAATCAGTGAACCGATATACGTCATCTGACGCACTGGCTGCACTGATCGTAAAATGAAAGCTGGATCGATTATCTGCGACAATGGCACAGGAGAGGGTGCGTTTGCTCGGCCGTTTCCTGACAAGTGTGTGCGTTGAAAGGCTTGGGACCATTGACCTCGGGCAGGGTTCTTTAGGCTTTTTTCATCTCGACCCAGTCTGGTTTTGTACTTTATCTGTACGACCTATTATGACCCTTCTATCGTGCCATTCTCTCAACTCGACATCAGTACATATATATATATATATATATATATATATATATATATATACAAACATCACACACACACACATATATATGTATGTATATACATATATATATATATATATATATATATATATATATATATATATATATATATATATATATATATATATATATATGTAGGTATGTATATATCTGTGTGTGTATATATATGTATATAAGTGTACATATATGTATATTGTGTGCTTACATATATATATATATATATATATATATATATATATATATATATAATATATATATATATATTATATATATATGTATATATATATATATATTATATATATATATTTACATATATATGTAAATACATATGAATATATATAAGCATTTATATATTTATTATACATATTTGTGTATATGAATATAAATATCTATATTTATGTGTGTGCATACATTTAAATGTATATCATTATTAGAACAATCATTATTATTATCATTAATATCATCATTATCCTTATGTGGCGACCCATTGACCCTGAACTTGCGACCCTTACTTCGACGAACCCTGACCTTGGGCACTGAACCATCGATCAGTTCTTTGAATCATTTTCTTTCTCCTCAGAAATATCATGTTTTCTATTACACACATATGCAAAGTTAATAGTAGTTATTATTGTTTTAAATGATAACAATAACTTATGTTTAACTTTTATGTTTATCTGAAGTATGAAATCGATTTTTTTCTTTCTTTCAACGGGCTGGCCCAGAATGTCAGAAAAACAAAAAATTATGCGGCAAAATATGAAATATTTATTTTTTTATTAAAAAATAAATATTTTTACTTTTAATTGGGTTTACTAATACAGACGTTTGATTCCATGTAACATGAAGTCAGTAGATGTCAATTTATCTATCTTATGCCATCTAATCCAGACTTCAATACCTTTAGATAAGATTTTTTCCTTTCAACATAATACATTATAAAAATGCATCCAGTTTATTACTTACAAAGTAAGACGAGAGAAAATGCCCGGAAGGACACAACTGGGCGGGGTCTCATGACGTCATCGACCACGAAGTATATATAGCAGACGCATCGCAGTGTCCAGGAGAAGGACACATTCGCTCGAAAGATGAAGGCTCTGGTAAGAATGGGAATATTCCAATCACAGTGTTTGAAACAAGTGTGAAACAGGTTTCAATTTGATTGAAGGGAGATTCTTAGGTGTAGGGAACACAAAAGAAAAAATCGTATGCTACTCGACCTGTGAAATAACGATATATATATATATATATATATATATATATATATATATATATATATATATATATATATATATATATATGTATGTATGTATCATGGGCGAAAATTTTTTTTTTCAATTATGTTATATAGCGGTTGTATTCATGATTTTCTTTCGACAGGTGATTCTGGTCGCTGCATCCTGTTGCTCAGCACAGCTGGTGCTGCCGTACACGGCGCCCTGGGTGCTGCCTCAAGCGAAGCTGATCACTACCCCTCATGTCAAGACCGACATCAAGACCATTCCTTTGGTCTCCCCTTACGCCCACCCCTTCGGACATCCCTTCGTCGCTTCCCCCTACGCCTTCCACCACGCTGCCTATCCCTACATCCTCAACGCCGACGCTACTCTCAAGGCCACCGAGTTCCCCTACATCTTCCACAAGGCTGAACAGGAGCCAGCTGTAGAAGAGGCACGTCGTCGTCGCCGCGACGTGGAGATCCCCCTCCCGTACCTGCACGCCGTGCCCACCGTCACCAAGCAAACTGTGTGTTTACAATTTCTTTGTTGGTCGACGCCAACACCCCCGCCGACACCACCAAGATCGAGCTCACCACCAAGGAGCACGAGATCTCCGTGCCCGCCGTCAAGTACGTGCAGCCCGTGGTCAACGTCAAGCCCGTCACCTACACTGCTCTCTCCCACGCCGTCCCCTACGCCCACGGCCTTCCCTCCCCTTCTTCCCTACGCCCACGGTCTTCCTTATGCCTATGGCCTTCCATACGCCCACTACCCTAACCTCGTCGGCGCCCCCGTCATCAAGATCGACGAAGAAGAGTAACTCCAACTTTCCTGTCGTCCTTGATCCTCACAAAAAAACGACACTTTGTGATGGAAACTCATCCGTTGGAGTCGTCTCTGAATCCAACATGAAGGATGTGGTTACCAACCTGAGTGAAATGAAAGAAAATAAAGTTGAGATAACAGTTCCCGAAAATGACAAATAAAAAGCATATTGAAAATTACATACAGTGAAAAACAAATCAGAACATCATCTGAAAAAAGGTGTACATGATGAAACGTACATTCAAAATCAACCTTTTTCGAAATAAAATCATTAAAATCACATGAAATATCTTTATCCCAATCCTGGAAAATGTACCCTGACAGTTACTCTAGACTTTTAGATCCATCTGAAATTCTTGCAAACTCAGGTTACCTTACAGTAAATGGTATACAAGAAAAGAATATCCCTTTCTTATAGAATAGTTTATGGCATAATTAGTATATACTTTCATGATAGAATCATTGGATTCCATCTTCAAGTCTGTAAGAAGAATTCGAAACTGTCTGTGTATTGTAGGTTCTCTATTAGCAAAATTTTGCTGGTTATAATCTATCCACAGTTATTTACACAATACCTACAGAATAACATGTATTAAATACATAGCATCGGCTTCTTGAAGCCATTATTTACTTTTTAACTTTTGATTCAAACTAAAGTGTTGAACCCTCCTCCCTCGTGTGCACGACCCTATGAGTGTATAGACTTCACAAACTCATTAGTGTGTGCATATATACCGCATAGATAAATACAAGTTTAGATATGAATATAGATAAGATAGATACCTACATGATTTATCAATCTATTCTTCCTGAATGATTCGTGAGACTTTTGTTTGAATGTATAAATGACTGTGCTTCAATTGCTAAAATGAAATTAACAAATTAACTATGTACTGATTTTCCCTTTTTTAATAAATCAATAAAATTCGCACTTTAAATGACAAGTTCCTAATTACAGATTATCGAAATGGCCTAAGCTTTTCACAAATAAAATACTTAAAGTTTGAAAAAAGGAAATAGTACGATATCTACTGATATATATATATATATATATATATATATATATATATATATATATATATATATATATATATATATATATATAAACTCGTGACGTGTCTGTCTGCAAACTTTCATATCCAAAATGGTTATAGAATTTCACACTAATTCTTTTACATGTAATTTGGTCTTGACTTCATTATGGTGGTTGCAGGAGATTAATCGCGCGAAACGCGGAAGGGTTATAACGCGAAGCAGAGTTGAAATCTCCGAATCAGTGAACCGATATACGTCATCTGACGCACTGGCTGCACTGATCGTAAAATGAAAGCTGGATCGATTATCTGCGACAATGGCACAGGAGAGGGTGCGTTTGCTCGGCCGTTTCCTGACAAGTGTGTGCGTTGAAAGGCTTGGGACCATTGACCTCGGGCAGGGTTCTTTAGGCTTTTTCATCTCGACCCAGTCTGGTTTTGTACTTTATCTGTATGACCTATTATGGCCATTCTATCGTGCCATTCTCTCAACCGACATCAGTTCATACATATACATATATATATATATATATATATATATATATATATATATATATATATATATATATATATACAAATGGTTTATATATATTTAATCACACAAATATGAACACACACATATATGTGTGTGTATATATATATATATATATATATATATATTATATATATATATATATATACGCATATGTGTGTATGTATATGTATATATGTATGTATAGTGTATATACATGTACACATATATATATATATATGTATATATATATACATATATACATATATATATATATATATATATATATATATATATATATATATATATATGTATGTATATATATACATGTATATTTATATGTATCTATATATATATACATATATATATATATATACACACATCTATATCTGTAAATATATGTATATATATATATATATATATATATATATATATATATATATATATATATATATATGCCACATCTATGCATATATGTATACATATATATATATATATATATATATATATATATATATATATGTAAAAACATTTCAAAGTATATTATTATTAGAACAGTCAATATTAAACAATTTATTATCATTATCATTATTTTCATTATTATCATTATGTGGCGACCCACTCATCCTGAACTTGCGACTCAGCACTGGATCAGAAAAACAAAAATTCATACAGCAAAATTTAAAATATTTGACTTTTTATTAAAAACAAATAGAATTTTGCTTTTAATTGGGTTTACTAATACAGACGTTTGATTCCGTATAACATGAGGTCAGTGGATGTCAATTTATCTATTTTATACTTACTATCTAAACCAGACTTCTATATCTTGGACATATTTTTAACATACTATTATAAGAGTACATTCAGTTTATTACTTACAAAGTAAGATGAGAGAAAATGCCCGGGAGGACACAACTGGGCGGGGTCTCATGACGTCATCAGCCACGAAGTATATATAGCAGACGCATCGCAGTGTCCAGGAGAAGGACACATTCGCTCGAAAGATGAAGGCTCTGGTAAGAATGGGAATATTCCAATCACAGTGTTTGAAACAAGTGTGAAACAGGTTTCTGATGAAGGGAGATTCTTAGGTGTAGAAACACAAAAGAAAAAAATCGTATGACAATAACGATATAATATCTGATATATGTATATGGGGAAAATTTTTTGTTTTTATCAATTATGTTATATAGCGGTTGTATTCATGATTTTTTTTTTTTTTTTTTCGACAGGTGATTCTGGTCGCTGCATCCTGTTGCTCAGCACAGCTGGTGCTGCCGTACACGGCGCCCTGGGTGCTGCCTCAAGCGAAGCTGATCACTACCCCTCATGTCAAGACCGACATCAAGACCATTCCTTTGGTCTCCCCTTACGCCCACCCCTTCGGACATCCCTTCGTCGCTTCCCCCTACGCCTTCCACCACGCTGCCTATCCCTACATCCTCAACGCCGACGCTACTCTCAAGGCCACCGAGTTCCCCTACATCTTCCACAAGGCTGAACAGGAGCCAGCTGTAGAAGAGGCACGTCGTCGTCGCCGCGACGTGGAGATCCCCCTCCCGTACCTGCACGCCGTGCCCACCGTCACCAAGCAAACTGTGGAGACCAAGCAGTTCGAGCCGGTCGACGCCAACACCCCCGCCGACACCACCAAGATCGAGCTCACCACCAAGGAGCACGAGATCTCCGTGCCCGCCGTCAAGTACGTGCAGCCCGTGGTCAACGTCAAGCCCGTCACCTACACTGCTCTCTCCCACGCCGTCCTCCCTACGCCCACGGCCTTCCCTACGCCTTCCCTACGCCCACGCCCTACGGCCTTCCCTACGCCCACGGTCTTCCCTATGCCTATGGCCTTCCATACGCCCACTACCCTAACCTCGTCGGCGCCCCCGTCATCAAGATCGACGAAGAAGAGTAACTCCAACTTTCCTGTTGCCCAGAACCTCAAAGAATTACAGCACAGTGTAAACGGTCATGTTGATTCCTTTAATGAAACACATACTTCTGGGAATACTCAATAAACGTCAGAAAAATATTAAGTGAAAGTCAATGAATCATTACAACCAACGGAAAGAAATGGATTCTCCCAAGGTGAGGAAATAATTCCTTAACACCATGATGTATCTTATATTTCTTTGGGATCAACAAATGAAGTCTGAGGAGATTTTATTATTCCCATGTCGTGCACAGGACGCAAAAATTAACAATACGTTAATTATTTGCCTTGATATCTCTCTCTCTCTCTCTCTCTCTCTCTCTCTCTGCTCTCTCTCTCTCTCTCTCTCTCTCTCTCTCTCTCTCTCTCTCTCTCTCTCTCTCTCTCTCTCTCTCTCTCTCTCTCTCTCTCTCTCTCTCTCTCTCTCTCTCTCTCTCTCTCTCTCTCTCTCTCTCTCATTCGTGCCTGTTAAAAGACGACGATATTCTCTGCATCGTCTTTTCAACACATAGGGATACAGCGCATGTGACATGATAATTATACTGAGGTCAAAACGTGCACTTATCTAGATGTGTTATATCTATATGTGGTATTCTAATATGTTTTTTTTTTTTAGTAATCATTGATAATTATACATAGATACACACACATAAATATGTGTATCTGTGTATAACGCGTGTGTGTGTGTGTATAGGAAGCTTGAAATGTGTCACTGTACTGTGTCAAATAAATATATTATTTCTATCATTATTATCATTATTATCATCATTATTATCATTATTATCATCATTATTATTATCATCATATTCATTATTATTACCATTATTTTTATTATCTCTTTAAATCTTTTTATTTCACCCTACAAATACTCATTCACATACAAACGTCTTTGCAATGTGAAAATGAATATGTATGTAATGCCACACACTTCTTCCCATCCATCGTGGATTTCGACTTAAATTTGGAAGAATTACTGGAAGCGTGTTAAATAATGATGATATAATACTTGTCATTATTATCATTATCGTCATCATCATAATCAGTTGTTATAGTAGTAGTAGTAGTAACATGATATTAATGATAGAAAAAATAAATACGTTAATTGTCTATATTTCTATCGTAGATCATCACATTATTATTATCATCATAATCAGTATTAGCAGTATCAGTAGTATTAGTAGCAATAGTTGTATCACTACCCTTATCACTATTAACAATAATGGTTAATGGTTGAAACAAATAAATGTGCTAGACATCAAAGTTCATATAGCACTATGGTAAAGTATTATAGCTATAAAGGGTAAAAGTGAGTTAGCGGTTAGGATAAAATGTGTTAATGTCGAAGGTTTTAGTTTTATATGAAAGTATGATCGGGGAAAGTGTAAAAAGGGGGTGTAAACGAAGCAAATCAGAGGTCAGTAAAGGAAAGGGATAAGGGTATAAGCCAAATGGATGAAATGGAGTGTATCTGTGGCTGCGGAAGGAAAATTGGCAAAGGAGCTATTACGAAATCAATCAACGGGTGATACAGGTAGAGATGGCTGTTGGAAAAGTAGGAGAATAAGAATCCGGTGAATGAGATAATGGAAATGGGGAAGGTGGTGAAGTATCAGGATGAATGGCAGGAGGAGAAGGATTCGGAGAAGGACAATGTTGCTGTAAAAGAAATTTCCGTCAACATCCAGGTGGGAGAGATAAGGATAACAGGGAACGAAGACGGAACGATGTACACAGAGAAGATGATGTATGTTGGGAAAGAGTGGGAAGAAGAGGGTTAGGAGGAACTTAAAGAGGGGGGATAGATATCAGTAAATACTTTGAATGTAGAGGGAATAGTTGTAGATTGGAGGATGGATGGGGGTGCAGAACATTCTCTTGGGCCATAACTAAAAGCAAAATAATGTCTTCAAGAGTTTCTGGAGGGGAGTTGAGAAACGAGTGTTTTCTTGTGTGCAGACGAGTGAATAGATGCTCGAGGAGCAGAGGAAGAGGAGGCTGTAAGAGAGGATTAGGTTAGCGAAGATGGAGTGGAACGTTTAGGTTGTCTGTTGCGACAGGTAAAGTGAGGAGGTGAACTAAAGGAAATATAATCGTAATTGTGGATTGTTTATCGAATTATGTATATATCTATTGAATAATACAAATATGATAATATGATATAAAATAAACCTATACACTGTAGCACAGACCTGTTGTTGTCATTTCTAGAGGTGCATGATTGGGATCGCCTGAGAAAAAATGTTAGAAACCACTGGCATAAGGGGTAAGGGCTAGGCAATTAACCAAGGGAATAACGTGCCCATGACAAAGTTTATATAGCATATAATCTTTGCCCATGGCTCCCGCTTCTGCCTGACACAAAGCCAGCCTATTATTCTTTCAAGCACGGCTCTCAACACCTTATAAAGCGGATAGAAAGGGCTGGAGAGAAGGAAAAGGAAAGTAGGAGAGGAAAAGAACGCAAAATTAGTTGTGGCAAGGGCAGAGGTAAGGGTAACTCCCCTACCTTGGGTCTCACTCTCGTTTCCAAAGCCCCCCCCCCCCCCCCCCACACACACACACACACGCTCGCACACGCAACAACTAGCAGGGGATTGGGGGACTATTATCAATAGTAATATCATTATTGCTACTATTTTTATAATCATTATTATTATTGTTATTTGTTGTTGGTTTTTGCTATTATTAGTACTATTATTATTGCTATTATTATTATTATTATTATTATTATTATTATTATTATTATTATTATTATTATTATTATTATTATTATTATTACCATTGTTATCATTACTATTTTTTTTATTGTTGCTATTATTATTATCATTGTTGTTGCTATTATTACTACTATCATTATTATTGCTATTATTACTATTATTATTATTATTATTGCTATTATTACTATTATTACTGTTATTATTATTATTGTTGTTGTTGCTGTTCGTGTTCGTGTTATCATCATCAGTAGTATTAGCATCTATCATCTGATCACCATCATTATTATTATCCTTAATATCATTGTTGTTTCTGTTGTATTGTTGCCATTATCATTATCATTGTTAGTAGTACTATCATCATTATTATCGTTATCATTACCATGATCATTATGATGATGATTAGTATCATCATCATCATTATAACTGTATATCATTAATATCATTAAAAGGTACAAAATGTATTAATGAAGTTACTGTATTCAGTGTTCCATATTCCAAATACACAATGAAATTAACCTTCTATTTGGATTTCTTAATGTTTACTCTTAGTAATCTTCCTTATTCTGTTTAATCTTATCCTTCCTGTCTTCTTTTGTACATTTCCTCTTTTATGCATTGTCTCTTTCCTTCTCTTCAGCCATCATATATCAAAGTTATTTTATAACAGGGAGCAAATAGTCAATACAAAAGTCGTTAATCTAGACATAACCTTTAAATTGTACACTATTAAGAGAAAATTGCAATCATTTTGTAATTTTCACCAATTTACAAGACTAAGTACAAACTGAATCCTGCCTCATGCACATTTAGCTTTAGAATGCTTCATTTGAATCTGATCTTTTCTTTCCTGATTTTTCTTTTTTTCTTTAGTAGTTATCAAACAATTTACTACCTGTCACTGCATATTCTTTTATCAGTGGATTTTAGATATTACAAAAACCTCATGAAACCTTCTATTTACATCTTATCCCTGTTTTTTATTATTATTTCTAAATTTACTGTATTTAGTTTTTTTGCCTTGGATAAAATAATAAAAGACAGACATTTAGTAGTTATATTTCAAATCTATTTACAAAAATGTATCAACACACAAGTTCCTGAGATAATGGCAGTATTCTTGTTTAATCCTGAATGCAAATTCTCAAATGAGAAAAAGTAAGAACAAAAACATGAAAGACATAATAAAAAGAAAAAACACAGAGGGAAAAAAGGATGACAAAAAATTATGTGAAAATACTTGATTCACTCTCCATACAGCATTGAAGAAACAGTTATTCTAGCATTTTCATCCATGTCATGCTGAACTTTTCTATATACCTCTTCTGCTAACTTTCTGTGTTTCTTTTTCCCTGATATAACAAGTTCTCCATACAGGTACACTCCCATTGCCTGGTCATCAATTAAAAATCTTCTCACTTCACACAAGTCAGGAAAATTATTTAATATTACTAGCTCACACCATCTATGGCGAACATCAGCGTTCTGAGCTGCAATGTCATAGTGATGGTATATCTGCTGTAAAGCCTTGCAAGAAAAACTTCTCAGTTCTAAAATATATTCTAAGAGTAGGACAATTTGGTCTGGAAAAGAGAATTTCTCAAGGTTGATCTTCATCTTTTTAGCACTTGGATTTTGTCTACTACTTTTGTTAACATGAAGCCAATAATTAAAATGTGACTTAACTGTAGACACTAACTGATTTGCTATATTACCATATTTTTCTGTAATATAAGGATTGAGTCCAGGATGATTAAGCCAATCTTCATACAGACCACTAAGGGTCATTCCTTTTTCTGCAGCCTCTGGGTAAGCACTAATGAAAAAGTCTATTATCTGCTCTGATAACACCAACTGACCATGATAAAATGTTACATAATCTTTTATCATTGAATCAAAGGTTTTCCTCCCTATTATTTTGCTCATATACTTCAGCAGGAAATATCCCTTCAGATAATGCACTTGCAAAAATGTTTTTTCTGGATTTCTTCCGTCTTTGACATAACCAATGCCACTATCATCAACTAAAGTCTCCCCTTGCATAGGTCTGAGCTTCTGCAAATCTTCACTTGAATTTTCAAGTTCACTTGTCAGAGTTCTGTATCGTATATGTGCCCTAAGATCTGAAAGTTCCTCGTGGTATTTCATTTTCATTGCTTTATGCTCTAGTGATGATAGCGATGTAAATGAACCACAGGTCAGTACTTTACCTTTGCTCCCATTACAATTATGAGGACTCCCAACACACAGCTCATCTTTTTTCTGAGTTTCACTATGTGCATTCTTATCAACACCTACCTGATCTTGCCAACTATCTACTGGGTTATCTTTACTAGTGGTTTCAGGGATGTTTTGTTGTTTTGTGCTGTACACAGCATCTTTTATCAGAGTAGCTTGTGCATAGATAGAGTCTTCCATGTAGGTAGCGAAACCTTCGCTAATCCATTCTTCTGTCCAGTCTTGGGCACCAATATTGATCCCAAACCATGCATGGCTGTTGAAAAAAAAATTATATATATTAATGTCTGCATTGCACATTAAGAAAAAATATGATGGAAGTTATCTTTTAAACCATTTCTATATTCTCAGGATAGACTGAAGACCTAAAAATATTTCTTAATACAACTTTGTTACTTTCTGTATTTTATCTCTTAATAAGTTACCAGCATTAAGACAAAAGGCTGCCCATCCTTCCTAAGGAGTCTGTCCTTGAGATATGGAGGAAAGTAGCCGTAAGCCACTGGCATACGACAAATTTATTGTAATCTACGCTCTAAAAGCAAATTGTGAAACAATTATTTTACATTTTTGTATACTAGCAATTCAGTATTGAAGTAATGACACTACTACCAAACACCTACCTTATTTCATGTGCAAGACGAATATAGGCTGCAGGATCATCCATTACCATTGATGGTGACAAGAAGATTAAGTTTGGAGAAGCTAAACCCAAGCTTGCAAAACACTTTGGTACTATAACAACTTCCAGCCTAGGGCATGGGTATCTGCCAAGAAGGTCAGAAGATGCTTGCAGGGCAAAAGGTAGAAATGATGCAACTGACTTTATTGCTTGAGATGATGATGGAGGATAAACCACAGATAGAGCAGTTTCACTACCCCAGTCTTTGGATTGGATGTGACAAGGGTATTCATAGTGCTTACATGGATGAGCCTCTTTAGTTTTTTTATCTTCTTTTATAAATGACCCACATAACTTAGCCTCGGATTCTAATGCTGGAAGAATATCTACTTCCCATTTACCAATGGCAATAGCTATAGTTGCAATAGGTAAGACCATTGTTGTATGATAATAAAAGCAAACTGAAGGTATATTTTCTTTTACCATATCTTGTCTGCAAATTGTAGATCCTTGACAAGGTTCTTTGGTATCACAATTTTTAAAATCTGAGTGATTGATGAGCCAACAGTCCTTGTAATCCTCAATACAGCCAATAAATTTTACTGGTCTCTCGTCCCCTGTCATTGACAGATAATACCCTTTTGGCACTGTAAACCAAGCTTGCCATGTAGCCATTGCTGATGGAGGATCTTGACATGGGAGTAATGAGCGGTTGTTGATAGTGGCAGCTGGAGTAAACACACATGGACTGCCATCTTGGTCGTTCCTCCAAAGAAGTGACTTTCCTTGTGGCAGTGTTTCATATTTGATGCATATAACTCTGGGAAAATCAGCAACTCTTTGCACATTATTTTTCCATATATTAATAGACCAAGGTTCCACAGTGTACTGAAGTGGTACCTGCTCTTTGCTTGACCAAGTATTTAGGGCAAAGCTGCAGTTTCTAATAAATGCTGGATGTAAGTACTGTGAAACTTCAGTTTTATTGCAGATTACTTCAGTGACAGATTTTACCTTAATATCACAACAATCTAGTACAACCTTAAAATCATTTTGTGTTTCTGATTGAGTAGCAACTTCATGCAAAATATGATTTACTAAGACATCATCAGAATCTACTTTCTCTGCTTTCCCTAATTTGTTCTGGCTTTCTTGTTCATTCTCTACAACACATGATCTTTGACTTATTAATTCACACTCCTTTTCTAGGTTACTTTGGCCACAGTGAATACCTGAACTACTTGAATCAGTCAGAGTAGCCTTTCTACATGGATTTTTTTCAGCATTGTTAAAACCTTGATGAAAACTTTTTGGTGTGCAGCCAAAACTGGTTTGGTCTATTTCACTATACCCACTAGAAGTCCTTGCAAATGTTGTATTGTTTTCATGATTAGGAAAAACATCTGTACCATGATGTAAATTTTGGCCAGATTCACTAACAACCTTCCTTTTATCTGAACAGAAACACTCACACACGCAACAATACCCGTTTTTCTCACAAAGTGTTGTAGGCTCTAGGAAGATAAACACAGTTCCTTCAATTATCTGACTAACTACACTTGTTTTGAGATGTAAGAGATAGTGCCGTGCCCTTATGTCCTTTATGTTTGATAGCAAAGGTAAGTCCATGTCCCCCATTTTGTTTGACACTAATGCAAGAATTCTTTTCTGGTTTATATGTTGTTTGTAAATCCTTGGTTATCCTCCCGATATAATGACGTCTTGCTTTCCTGGAACCAAATAGTTCAAACGGAAACCTGTAAAAAGAGGCGCAAAATTATCATACTGGTTTTTACCTTGATATTAAAACAAACAGGGGCCATTCACAGTAAACAGCAAACAATTGTGCATGGATTACATCATAGGTATAAGTTATGCAAATATATGCATTTTTCCCAGATTCCAAAATGACCTTTTTTTAATTTCAAATCTAAACTTATTCAGCAGACTAGCCAAATAATAACAACAATCAGTAATGTATCTATATTCTTGTATCAATTTCTTTAGAGTTACTAAAATGCATTCTTAACTTTTCATTCCTTCCTTCTGTTGCCAATATGAATCGGTCATGGTATGGGATTTTGAAATATCAGAAGATAATCCATATCATTATATTATTATTATATTATTAACATCCAATGACAAGAAACATTATATATGTGTATAACTATTTGTTGTCAAATGGTATTTTAGTTCAATCTTGCCAAATAATAATATGCAGGTAATTTGTTGGTCTTTGCAAGAGCCGAAGGCACGAAAGACAAGATGACTGCATGATGCATTGCAATCCCAATGGTATGTTAGCGATATTTTTGAGAAACATAAAGTTTATAATTCCCAAAATGTACACAAAAATCGATTAAAATCATATGGAAAGTTTCATAATCTACTGATGTGCACTATGCACCAAAAATAAGATTATTCAAAAACCGAATTTCACGGCCCATGCGACTTTACTTAACATTTGAAATACACATATAATACACAAATTATCTCACAATTCGCATTCATTCACCATTTAATGCCAACATTATTCGATTTAATATAAAAGAATACCACAGATTCTGAAGAAATGCCGTTTGTTTACATCCTCGCCCTTCCTTTGTTATTGTTTTTGTTTACACGCGTGTCAGAATCAGCTGATTGAGCGTCACTCCCGGCTACTCCCGGCCGTAGAGTTAAATCATGGCTTTATTTTTGCTTTAGTATTGTTATTTTATGGACAATGGAGGTTTTGACAAGAAAAGAGAGCGATGGAGAACTTATGGAGACGCTCTGTAGATTATGCGGCACGAATGACTGCGGTCGAATGTTACATTTGGGTGATACGTATTCTATGGTTGGAGCGAGTGACATCATTTTCAACTTGTTAGACAGTATATCGGTTATACTAAAACTGCAGGTATGTGGTGCATTTATACTATGGATGTGTGCAATTGAGCACATATGTTGAGTTTGGGGAAAACATTGTGTACTATGGTGATCCGGGATTTGCATCCCTTCACTGTCTTCCCTTGATTTGTTGGCATAACAACCTTAACATAACGATGAAGAATCAACATTAAACTTAGGGAGGATGCCCCTGTCTACCTGCCTAGGTTTTGAAGTTTGAAAATCTGCATGGAAATGCCCCCCACTCATTATCTCTCTCTTTCTCTCTCTTTCCTTTACTCCCTCTTTCACCATCCTCCTTATTGCTCTATACACCCTTTTGCCTTCTCCTACCCTTTCTACCTTCCACTCTCCCCATCTCCCCTTTTTATGTGTATCAGATAATGAATAAATGTTTTTTGTTTTGTTTCAGGATGATGATGAAGTATTGATGTCAAAACATGTATGCTTATCATGTTTCAACATAGCAGTTGATGTCCAGGCTTTCATAGATTCCAGTATAAATTTTCAAAAGACAACAATAAGACAGATATTTCCAGAACATAAGTTGGTGGAAACACAAGACATCACTCTGATTCAAGCACCTTTTGGAAGTCTGCGGAAGGAGTCTGAGATTGTTGAGCATCATATCAATGATGATGGTAAAGTTGATGAACCAGTATTAAAGTCCCAGGATCTGTTACAGAATGGCTGTTTTTTAGAAACAAGTAATGTCTTATTGAAATCTAAATTTGCTACAACAGACAAAGAGGAAGATATAGCCGAAGGAAACATTGCAAGTGACTTTCAGGAATCACCAGATTCTGTTAATGCTGATGTATCACATAGTAATGTAAAAGTTACCATAAATTCCTCTGAGTTAGGTGTTATTGATCAAGTGTCAAAGGATGAAATCCCTTCCGTCCACAATGAACATGTGCCAGAGTTACCAAGTATCTCCACAGAATTTCAGACTGACCCAAGTGTCAAGACTGATGTAAAGATTACAGATGAAGGAGACAAGGTCTCTAATTGTTCTAAAGAAGATGCATGTGACACTGCACATTCTCCCTTAGCTTCTCAGCGTCAAAGCACCAATAGTACCAACTCAAGTACAAATAAGAGTAAGAAAGCAAAGGTAGTTGTAGATAGACAAGAAAAAGGAAAAGAAAGTAGCAAGACATGTCCAGTATGTTCAAAAAGTTTTCCAAGGCAGAGCCAACTAAAAAGCCACCTTGTAAGTCACAGCGGAACTAGACCATTTGAGTGCAAGATTTGTCACACTAAATTCAAATACCGTCGAAACCTCGTTGAACATTCCAGTATACATAATGAAATTCCATCCTTCATCTGCTCAAAATGTGGCTTAACATTCAAGCAAAGAAGCAAGTAAGGAAAAAGACAGAATTAGTTATGTTTGACATTAGTAGTTTGAATTTGATTAATGTTTAAAATGTAATGTTTGTAATCAGGTATGCTAGTTTGTAAATATTACAAGCAGTACAATTGTCTAACAATATGCTTCTTTATTGCTAACACTTTTGTATTTTTATGTTTTTTAGCTTACTTAAACATGAGAGGATTCATCGAGAGAAAGACAAACACTGTTACCGCTGTCCTCACTGTAACAACCAGTACACTCAGTCTTCACATCTAAGAACACATATTAGAAATGTTCATGAAAGTATGTAACTATTTTATTTCATCTATTAATAAGTCTGTTTCATAGACATGTATGAAAGTGTATGAATATGAATATTATATATATATTTTAGGATAGGTATATATCAGTATGTATATATATATATATATATATATATATATATATAATATATATATATATATATATATATATATATATATATATATATATATATATATATATATATATATATATATATATATATATATATATATATATATATTAGCACATAAGTACGTGAATAAATAAAGATAAAAAGACCTTCTATGAAGATATAGTGTGTGGCAAAAATTTGATAATTATTACATTCCTTTCAGATAACAAGGGACACAAATGCGATGTCTGTGATGCTGTAGTTCTCTGTCAGTCATCTCTGAGACGGCACATGGCAACTGTCCATGCTAATTCAGCCAAGTTTGTCTGTCCCCATTGTAATAAAGGCTTCAATAACAACCAGAATTACCAAGGTAGCCTGTTACTTCTTCTTTTTTGTAGTTTTCTGTTTGCCAGTTTAGTTTTATTGGTCTGTTATAGTAAAGTGCATGCATAAATGTTTCAATACATGAACAAAGATATATCTATATTTCCACACTGCTCACATGACTAAATGTACATTTATGTATAATAGCATAAATGCAGTTGCGAGTTAAAACACATGTATGGATACATTTGATATATTAAAAGTGCATCATAACATAGACACATAGAACTACAAACACATCTTCTGATAATTTTAGATATATACTGTAAAACAAATTATTATTTCTGTTATCATGATCAATAAAAGATAAAGTAAATATAAACATTTGAATCTGCTAAAAATAATAATAATGATAATTTTATTTTTTATTCTCCCCCCTCAAAATGAAGGGCACCTGAGGCGGCATTCTGGTGAGCGTCCATATAGCTGCTCCACGTGCACCAAGACATTCACCACCACGAAGGCCCTAAGCAGGCATCGTTTAATTCATCAGGGAATTAAGAGCCATAAGGTCAGTTATGCAATTAGTATGCTTATATCTGCAGTTTTTCTCATTATTAGTTTTATATTTTTTGCATCTTATTTTTATTCTCTAATGTATCTTACAGATTTCTTTTATCTTTTCTTTCATTTTCTTTTCTTCAGTGTATCCACTGCAGTAAGGCATTTTATGAATTATGTGACTTAAAGAAGCATGCCAAGCGTCACCTGAAACGTGTGAAGAAATCCAACAAAAGTCTGGCTCCTAGTAAAGCTGGAGAGAATGCGAGTAACTCTACCACTCAGGTGGTGACTGGTATGAATTCACTCAACTTGATGGTTCTCACAGAGTCTCTGCTCTTTAGCGAGCCCCAACCACTGCTTGAAACATCAGCGCCTAGAGTAACAGAGGTAGCTATTAGCACTGATTTGATATTCTGTGTACACTTTTTTTGTTTTATGAAATTTTGTTGGAAGATTAGTAGTGATATATTAGCTTATTCATCAGATTGAAACATGGCAGTACTTTATGTATTAAATGTGTTGCAGATACTTCTGCCAGATGGGAAATTAGGCACACCTAAAGAAGTCACAGCACAACCACTTCTGGGTCCAGAGGTTATAGAAGCTAATCCACCAAATTTGCAGCAGTCATCAATGGAACTGTCCAAAATTTCAAACATGTTACAGCCAGGAGAGGAAGTTCTGACACCATCGCCATTATTACCTGCTACACCAGTCTTATCTGCAGAAAATGTAGAAGCAATCTCTGTGCTGGCTGACACAGCTGTCTTGCAACCACCTGAAACAAAGACTGTCATAGCCACACCCATTGACCCTTCCAGAGTCTTGCAGCCAACAGACATGGGAGTTGAGGAGGAGCTCCCTAGACCTGAGAACAGAGATGTAAGTCTGGAAGCACAGGAGGCATCCCAGTGTAGCTCTAGTACTGATGGCCCAACTATGGTTGTGCTGTCATCAGTAGGTGCTTCTTCTGAGTACTTACCTGTTGCTGAACAAGAATCTCATACAGGGAATTCTGAAATTGATGGGGCCAGACATCAGCAAGGTGAGAGGATCCTTAGCCATGCTACTTGGTAATCTGTAATATATTTTGAGTATCAGGATACTGTTTGTTTTGGAAAAGTGATGGGAAATATTTCTTTGCAGTGTAGTATAATTATTTTTAATGTTTTCATTACCAAAACTTATTTAAATCTTGCCTGAATAACTGATATTCACCGAAATATTCAGCTTACTATAAGCTCATCATCTATATATTTAATGTCAGTATTCACTCAATCTGTCTCTGCTCACAGTAAGGCAGTAAAAGAACAGTTTAATCATTTCTAGATTTTTCTCAGTATAAGAGAAATTTTAAAATGAAATGCAGCAAAAAAGAATGAAAAGCCAAATTTAAACCAGACTTCTATTTACGTAGAAGGACATTAGGGATACCAAAAAAAAAGGGGAAAGAGTAACATCTAGTTATACAAAAAAATATCACAGATTTTTTTTTCTATGTTACTACCCCTCTTTTTTCACAGATTAATTGGTTTACATTTTGTGATAAACCTTGTGTATGAGACATTCTGTGATTAAGGGAACCATTTCTAGTCAGTAAATGTGAATATTCAGTATAAGGGATTTTTTTAAAGAAATATAGCAAAAGAGAATGAAAATCCATATTTAAACAAGACTTCTAATTAGGTAGAAGGACATTAGGGATATTAAAAAATGGGCTGAAAGAGTAGCATCTTGTTATACAAAAAATATCACAGATTTTTTTGTTACTACACCCCTTTTTCACAGATTAATTAGTTTACATTTTGTGATAATCCTTTTGTATGAGATATTTCCAGTTTTAAGGTTATTACGATGGGGAAAAGTATAGTTTTCTTTGTGATGGAAGTTGGTAATTGTTCACAAGCAGTTAGGACCTAATGTCTAATACAGTCTGTGCAATAGAAAGAAAAAAAAACTTATATGTATAAAATATATATATGTATGTATATATATATATATATATATATATATATATATATATATATATATATATATATTTATATATATATATTAACTGTGATTAAGGGAACCGTTTCTAGTCAGTAAATGTGAATATTCAGTCAGTGCTCATATAATATATAGTACTAAAAATAAGCAATATATATTTTTCTTGTTTACTCTTCACTTCCCCATTATCCCCTCATGTTTTAATGTATGATATAAAAACTATGAGATTTGAAAACAGCAGTTATTTCAAATTTCACACATTATATGCTGCAATAATACAGTATATACATTGTTGGCAATGTATTATTGTATACTTATAATCTCTTTTGAAAAAAGTATGAATTATTTTTATACATTGTTGGCAATGTATTATTGTATACTTATAATCTCTCTTGAAAAAAATATGAATTATGATATGTAACTATTTTTTAGACAATATTATGCCAAATATCAATAGCTAGTCATTCCCTAAAAATGTTTGTGTTTAACAGATGTACTTTTACATGTGTTATAAAGATTGTTCCTTTTGGGGAATATATATGTATATTCTAGTATCTTATAGGTTATGACAATTGGGAAGATAGGTCATTGTAGCCAAGTGCTCCAGAGCTGCAGTGACCAAGAAAATCAAAATGTTTAAAAGTGGGATCTTTATAAAGGTGCAATATCACTTGTCACTTTCAGACTACCAGTACAGTAATTGTCAATAGCAATTCATCATAACTGTTTTGTGTATGTTTGTGTGTATTCATGTGTGTTACTGTGCTGTGTGCATGAAGGTTTTTATGACTGTCACATGTATACTTATGTCTATATGTACATAAAATACATACACAACGGGCTAGATTTAGTTGCACAGGGACTTGCAGTTATTTTCAGAAAAAAGGAAAATGTAGTAACTGGGACGAATATTCAGTTTGACTCATTCTTTGCACTTGTAAAAATATAGTTGATGAATTACTATAACATGTCTTGTTATCGTTTTCATACTCAAAGGTAAGGCAGTCCTCCATAATCCATATACCTAAATCCATCACCTCATTCACAAATATTAATATCAAGTAGATTCAGATGGGATGAATTTTAAAATCAATGTGTCTCTTCTGCTGTTCAAATAAAATGGCCTTGAAAGCTCTAGAACTGCATAAGAAATGAAGACTATAAAAGAAGTTAGAGTACAAGTATTAAGGTATTATTGTCATAGAAAAAGTAGTGGAAAGAATTTGATACAAATAATTCTAAATAAAATTGGTTCTTGACACTAAAGACTAGCAGCAAAAATTAATATTTAAATTTTTAACCCCCCAACCACCCCCCAAAAAAAAAAATAATAAGTAAATAAATAAAAATAATAATGCTTAATGTTTGTTGTGCTGATACGTGTTGATGGAGCATTTGTCTTTTGCTCATATGCAAGTGTGCTTATTGATGCAAAGATTGTATGATTGATTCTTGGCCATTGCTGTGAACTTTATTTATTCTTTATAGTAATGGATCATTCAGTCTGTGAACAAAACATTCCTATAAAAACAAAGTGCAAAACTTATTTTTAATCTATTGATAGCTGAAACTGTGTACTTTATTTATTGTAAACCATCTTTAAATATTAAATAAAATATGTTTGTGTATAGAGTTAGTTTTGGAACCTATTTCGTATTATTAACTTTCCAGTCTGATTTAATACATCAGAAATAAATTTGATAAATTATCTATGTTACTGGCAGATGAAAAATGACATCCCAAGACTATTAATTCTTAGTTGCTTAAGGAGTTCATACATTACTGGCTCTATGGATCAGAGACCATCATTTAGATAATCTATCTTTAGCAGCAGCCATAATATAGAAAATCTACAAAACTTTTGGTATGCCTGTGGTTTTTGAACATGACAACAAAAACTTTTTATAGTATCAGGTTGTCAGTTTGCAATATACTCTTATACCAGTATCAGGTACCATTGGCTACTGGAATATGACATTTTGGCAGCAAACAACTACCCATGCTGTATACTAAAATTCCAGAACAAAGTGCACACTTCCAAGAAAATATATTTAAAAAAAAAAATGATAAGAACAATAATAATAACAATATTGAACAACCATTTTCTTTATTACTTTCTTTTAAATACTATTCTAATTAATAGGTACAAGATTTAATTGCTATTATTCCATAAACTTGACAAGGGATTGAGTCCTATTCAAATAAATTATGAAAACTCAGATGTTCCATTGACTTTGTATTCCAAATTATTTTCAATGTAAACCATGAAAAATCACACTAACATTTGGAAGTTGCCCTGGATATTAGTGGTCTCAACCCAAGTAATAGAGATGGCCAATTGACAGGACCCATGGGGGTGTCCTGCCACATGCACCAACACCCATAAAAACTCCTGCGGTACTTTAGTCCAGCTGCAAGCCAAAGTGCCACATTCTGAAGGGTGTATGGCTAGTGTTTGAAAGTTTAAAGTCTTGCAATGTGCAAAGGTCTATTGGTTAAAGAGGGTGTCTGGAGAGTAGCTCATATATTGGTAGTGTTCAACAGCTTTCTATCCACAGTTTAAACTGCCCTACTAAGTTAAGAAAGGTACAAATTGGAAAAAATATATATTTTGAAAGAATAAAGTTACCCATTAATTTTATACACTTTATTAAACCTTCAGTTAGCGATATGTTCTGATCATAGTGTCTTACATAAGCTTTTTCTTTGATCTGTAAATAAACTAATGGTCTGTAACAGAGACGAAGGGGTCCTTGGGGGCATTGATCTTATTGTCTTTAAAATCACATCCTCTGTCACACATGGAACAACACTGTCCTCCCTCAGTAAATTTTCACTTTGTCTCTCTTTCTCAATTCTTTCCATGTCAGCCAGAGCTGCATATGCTGCTTCTTGGTAGATGCCTGTAATCTGTTAGAAAGAGAATCTTGTATTATATTACTAAATTTAGGACTACAAAAATGAAAAGGAGGAGAAAGATGTGATAAGTGAGAATGACATGAAACATTACACATTTACCTCCTCTACTAGTGTATTTACTAAGTACTGACAATGAAAGCCCCTTTTTTTCCTTTGTATCTCTTCATAGTTTTCCAAATTACCAAGAACTGTTTTGTAAAAAGAAAATAAACCTGAGTAACTAATAAGTAGAGAAAATTGCCTTCTGTACCTTACACCACTAAGAATACTCAATACCCTGTTTTATATTTTACTTTCAAGATAGAAAGATTTTCAAGTAAAAAATTAGAACTACAACTGTAAATACCACCCAAATATGTAAATACGGACAGTAGCCATTATTGATGATATACAGTGATACAAATGCAGTTAGAATTGGAAGAACTTAGAAAACAGAAGAATCCTCTATACAAGATTTCCTAATATTCAAAATGTACATTAGTTCCAATTACTTTAATCAGGGTTGAACATGCTTGTATTTTTCTCTCAATAAAATTTTAAAATTCTTTTGTCTATAAAATTACTTTGAAAATCACAGAATTAGAATGTCGAGCTTAAAAAACACTCCAGTAAGATGGTTAGTTTGTGTTTAGTAATTCATTCACATTCACTCTTAATTTACCTCAGCTCCTGAGTGTCCTGCAGATGCATCACTCAGATTTGCAACATTTATTTCCTCCTTGACTGAGACGCCTGTTAATATGCCTTTCCATATATCACATCGACTAGTGAAATCTGGCAAATCCACATGTACAATTTGTTCCAAACACCCTGGTTGGAGTAAGGCCTAAAAAAGAATATTAAAAGCATTATGTGTATTTGAAAATAACATGTTACCTCTGATTTGTATCATAATCAATACTTGCTTTTACAGTCTCATCAATTTAGTCTAGCTGTACAGAAATACTGTTGTTTACCTCATCTACTGCTGCTGGTCGATTGGTAGCTCCTATAATCCAAATGTTCCCTTTATATTTTGTGCCAGACATTAAAGATAGCAACTCTGATACAAGCAAACTCCCACCAGAACGATCACCACACAAGCTGTCAATTTCGTCCATAAATATGATTGATGGTGCTGCCTGCTGTGCTCGAACAAACACTTTGCTCAAAGATTTCTCCGTTTCTCCAACATACTTTGACAGAAGATTTGAGCACTTAAAAAAAAAGGAAAAAAAAAATACATATACATATAAGTATACAAGAAAAGTAGAGCAATGTAGGTACATATATCATAAAATAAATATTTTAAATAAAAACATTTTCCTGTAAATCTTTTATAGCTAATATCTAGGTTTAAATGCTTTTCCTTTGCAGATTAATTAGTAGAAAGGATCATGACCAACATCATGAACCTGCAGAATGAGAAAATATTAACGTTCTAATGGGCCATCAACCTCTCTACCTCTTTTACAATTATCAATCACAACTTTACCAAACAGTTCAAACCTTCAGAGGAAAGAAGCTGAAGTTGGTCTCGTTAACAAGCGCTCGCACAAACATGGTCTTGGAGCACCCAGGTGGCCCGTACAGAAGAAGACCTTTTAATGGGTGTTCATCTGGACTGTCCTGGTGTTGGTGAATCATTTTCTGAAAGTTAATAATATATTACCCAAAGAGAAGGATGAATATACACTTCATTATGTATTACCCAAACAAGAAGTATAAATATACATTTCATTTTAATTACGTGTGACAAAAATATCCTTACCTGTAATTTTGACTTTAGTGCCGGATAACCCCATATGTCATCCCATTTCACCTGGAAATTCCATAATAATCATATCAACAAGACATTTTAGTTGGCCTGACTTCAGTAAGTACAGGCATGTAAAGATAAGTTCCTGTGAAGACATGGCACATTCTTTATTAGTAGGCTTCATTTAAAGGAGAGCAAAATTAGTTACATTGACAGGGTACCAAGGCTCTTCATGCATTGGAACTACAGCAATTTAAAGAGCCATTGTAGTATGTCTTAGCTTTTAAAAACTAATAAATAAATATATATATAAATA